ATCATGGGTTTAGAATGGATTGAAAAATATAATGGTCAAAAATATGTCATTGCATCGGATAATATGGCAGTCTTATTAAGCATCAAATCAAGTAAATCAGAAAGACAAGACCTAATTGACAGGGTTTACCACATTCTATATAAACTTCACTTGAGGGAAATATCTGTAGATTTTGTTTGGGTTCCAGCACATGTGGGAGTGGAAGGCAATGAAGGTGCAGACATTCTTGCTAAACAGGCAGTAAAATCTAAAAATGTAAACTATGAAATTCCATTAAGTAAATCTGAGTGTAAAATGATAATAAATAGATATGTTACGAATATATGGCAGGATAATTGGGACATAATTGATACAGGACGACATTTGTATAACATTCAGAAAAAGGTAGGAGGCACAAAGAAAACGGGAAGAAACAGAAAAGTAGAAACAATAATGACCCGAATCAGAATAGGACATACGGGTCTCAATAGCTCTCTTAAAGTAATAGGAAAACATGCCACGGGGTTATGTGATAACTGTAATCTCCCTGAAACAGTAAAACATGTTTTTATGGAATGTTGTGGATATGAATTAGAAAGAAGACATTTCCAAAAAGAAATAACTAAAATGAATATAAAATTTACAATTAATGATATCTTTAGTAGTGATGCTGGTAAAGTCAAAGATCAAATTATTATTTTCTTGAAAAAAACAAATTTAATGGAGAGAATTTAGATGAAATATAGATGTGAAGTTATTTCACAGAATTATTATTATTATTAATATTATTTATTTATATATTTTACATATTATTATTAATTTATTTTGTTTATTTATTTATCTATCTATTTTTATTTTATTTTATTTAATATTACTATTATTATTATTATTGTTTTTTTTTTTTTTTTTTTTTTTTTTTTTTTTTTTTTTTTTTTTTTTTCTTCTCTCCTGTATATCTTCTGCCCACACTCCAGCTCAGTAGGTGGCGGTAATGCACCTTACAGTTGGTCTGCCAACCGCCATAAAACAATACTAGAAGAAGAAGAAGAAGAAGTTCTGTAGGCTACACAACCATGGGGAAGACTGCTGACGTGACACTTTGCACAAGGATGGCAAGACACAAAAGGTAATTGTTAAAGAAGCTGGCTGTTCACAGAGCTCTGTGATCAAGTACCGTACATTAATAGAGAGGCGAAGGGAAGGCAGCAATGTGGTAGAAAGAAGTGTACAAGCAATAGGGATAACCACACCCTGAAGAGGATGGTGAAACAAAACCCATTCCAAAATGTGGGAGAGATTCACAAAGTGTGAACTGCAGCTGAAGTCAGTGCTTCAAGAACCACCACGCACAGACATATGCAAGTCATGGGTTTCAGCTGTCGCATTCCTTGTGTCAAGCCACTCTTGAACAAGAGACAGTGTCAGGAGCATCTCACCTGGGCTAAAGACAAAAAGGACTGGACTGCTGCTGGGTGGTCCAAAGTTATGTTCTCTGATGAAAGTCAATTTTGCATTCCCTTTGGAAATCAAGGTCTCAGAGTCTGGAGGAAGAGAGGAGAGGCACAGAATCCACGTTGCTTGAGGTCCAGTGTTAAGTTTCCACAGCCTGTGATGGTTTGTGGTGCCATGTCATCTGCTGGTGTTAGTCCACTGTGTTTTCTGAGGTCCAAGGTCAACACAGCCATCTACTAGGAAGTTTTAGTGCACTTCATGCTTCCTGCTGCTGACTAACTTTATGGAGATGCAGATTTCATTTTCCAACAGGACTTGGCACCTGCACACTGTGCCAATGCTACCAGTACCTGGTTTAAGGACCATCATATCCCTGTTGGCTAGCAAACTCACCTGACCTCAACCCCAAAAGGGGTATTGTGAAGAGGAAGATGTGACACACCAGACCCAAGAATCCAGAAGAGCTGAAGGTCACTTATCAGAGCAACCTGGGCTCTCATAACACCTGAGCAGTGGCACAGACTGATCGACACCATATCACGCCGCATTGTTGCAGTAATCCTGGCAAAAAGAGCCCCAACTAAGTATTGAGTGATGTGCATGCTCATACTTCTCATGTTCATACTTTTTCAGTTGGCCAACATTTCTAAAAAAAAATTTATCTTGTTTTTTGTTTATTGGTCTTAAGTAATATTCTTATTTTCTGAGATACTGAATTTGGGGTTTTCATTAGTTAGCAGTTATAATCATCAACATTAAAAGAAATAAACATTTGAAATATATCAGTCTAATGATTGAATATAATATACAGGTTTCACTTGTTGAATGGAATTACTGAAATAAAGCAACTTTTTCAGGATTATGACCAGCGCCTGTATGTCAGGTGCAAGGATCAGGACAGAAAATGAGGGAACCCCCCTGAAGAACAGTTGATCGAGACTGAACAGAAGCTGAGAATAGATGAGGAATGCCTATATATGGAGCTTTGCACCACAGCTACACCAGCCAATGTGGGCTACTGTGACTTGTAAAATGTGTGTGTTATCTTCCTACTATTATGTGTGTGTGTATAGATTGCACAAAAATCTGGGTAAAAGGATAAAAAAAAAGAGAACTGAAGCCTGTGTTTTCTGGTTGCATCTTCATCTAGACCCACATGTAACTAAGCAGCTGTGAACTTCTCCTCCCTCTTTGTCCTCCTTATAACCTCCTTCTCACGTGACCTTTCTCGCAAACACCCTGCGTTCCGCTCTTTGGAGGAGGTGCAGTGCTGGTTTCTTCCAGGAGGTGGCAGCAGTCAGCTGCTTGTCTCACCTCCAGCAGCATCATCACTGCGGCAGGCAGAGCTGGGACAAAATGTTCATTTCTCAGAGAAAAGAGGCAAAAATGTTGTTTGAACTGAGCCACCGGGATGCATCTGATCAAATATGGAGGAATAATTGTTTCTGTGCACTTAAATCAATCTGGGAAAAAAATATATATATTTTAATCTTTTTATGTGAAGTTCGGCTCTCAGAGATGCAGCTTGTTCCACATCCCTCCTTACTCCCCCCTTCATACTGTACCTCTAATTTTAGCCTCCTCTGACTCTTTCTTTGTCTCCCCCACTTTCAGCAGCCCCTCCCCTCCCTGATCCCCCTGAACAGAAGCTGAGAATAGATGAGGAATGCCTATATATGGAGCTTTACACCACAGCTACACCAGCCAATGTGGGCTACTGTGACTTGTAAAGTGTGTGTGTTATCTTCCTACTATTATGTGTGTGTGTCGTCATAAGTGGGAGGCCATCTGTGTGTTCCTGTGTGCGCATCCTTGCACACAAAAAAATAAAAAAGCCCTCAAAGCCAAGCGTGTGCGTCAGTCTGAGTCAGAGAGCGTCTCATTCCGTCTCGTCACGCGTGTGCGTCAGAGCTGTTGCTGAGCGAAACTCGCTCCGGGGGAAGAAAGGCATGAGAGGATGGGAGGTGGGAGGAGGAGGAGAAGATGATGGTGATGATGATGATGGAGCTATGACGACACAAATGCATCAGCGTTAAGTGCACTTTATTATAAATGCATTTGTATGACAACCAAATACACTTATAAGCATCACAATAGAACACTGCTTCACAATGCCCATTCTGCAGGAAATAAAGATTTTTTTTCATATACATTTTCCATTTCTTTCAATAAAAATCTCTCGTATGTACAAACCATAGAACTGCTTCATACAAATGTACAAATGTGTACAATCTTTCAGAAAAAGAGCATATGCCTACATCCTGGGACATAATGCATATAAAATAACATCTTTTTTAATGTTGCACATATAATTTTATATATATATATATACATATATATATATATATATATATATATATATATTACACATGTATGTAGCCTTTAATAGCTAGAATGTAGGAATCAATCCTTTACTTGACCGTAGACAAATCTACGAGCATGTCGACACCATGGGAATTGTACCATTCTCAACCCGTGTCGTTTTTTGTTTGTTTGTTTTATTTTACTCTCTTTTTTTAATATATAGAAATAGCACCCTGTCCCGGTTTTCTTTTCTTTTTTTTTTTAAACAAAACCTTTGTATTCTAACCCCTCTCAAAAAAGAAGAATCACTCGTTTCTTGAAGAAGTCAGTTGTGCCTCACACCGCAGCTCCGGGGGAGCCTCGATGAGATGGTCCAAAAAGGACAAAAGAGTTCAGAGTTCAGCAGGTCAGGGGGCCGCTATAAGCTGCCAGCATTGCAAATATTGATGCTGCAAGAATATCCAGCCGACTGCCCTTTGGGGGGGTCCTCCCCCACATAAAGCGAAGGAGGAGTCCACATTCACAGTCTTAATGTACAGTAAGGAGTAGCAGAGGGTTTGTGGCATGATCAGAGTTCTGTAGGATTCCCTTCACATGGTTTTGTTTTTGTTGGCACATAACATTTATACACAAGCTCTTAGATGGAGATATGAACTCTTAAAGGTTTGAAGTCGCAAACTCAAAGCTCAAAGGATCTCAGGCTCATCTAAATACTGTTTGTGATGATTTTTTGTGTAGCTTTGTAAGGCTTTCACCCAAGGAATCTTGTTGATTTCCTGATTGTGTTCGCACTAAGATTGTAAACATTAATTGTAAGCCTTTGACTTTGAGTTTTGGGTTTGTGTTGCTGCATGTCAGGCATAAAAGTGCTATAATTCATCTCACTACAGAAATAGCAAGAAATGTCTTTTTTTGTTCACAACATTATTTCACTACGAGTGAATACACATACGTATCTGGAGGTTTGATCATCCGTCTGATCACATTAACACAACCACATGGACTCAGAACCGCAGGCAGCTGTGGATCCATGCAGCTGCACAGTTGCGTAAATGTTGCACCATTTTTGTAGTTTTTACACAGATAAATGACTGAACAAAGATATAAAGCCAATCTTTGTTCTCAACAGACATGTAGTTGAAGTCCTTAAGTTGTATATACATTATGTATATTTATACACTTAATTATTTTTTACTTTGCAGTAAAAGGGTCTCCACAAAATATGACAATATGCCATACTTAATGAAGTAAGTCACAGACTTATTTTAGAACGGAGGAACACTTCCACTCCCATCTGTAAAAGAGAACAAAAGAGAGAAAATTAGTGAGTGGGGTTTCCAAGAGTTGACATTTTGTTTTCAGAGCTAAAACAAAAGATAACTCACCGTTGTGGAAGCACTGTGGCGATGGATAACATTGGAGTTGATACAACTCAGGTTGTTGCCCTAAGCCAGGGGCGATCGAGGCACCTGCCCCAAACATGGGTTCCAGGACGGCCAGTTCCTCCAGGAGGGACTGAGTGCAAGACACAGCGGGCATGGGCGAGGCGACGGGCGTGGAGGTGGCAGTGAGGATGAGGGGAGGGGAAGCTGGGATGGAGGAGCAGGAGGACACGGGAGATGACGCCATCTCGATCTCCATCGCTTCCTCCTCTAGCCCTTCTGACACCACCTCGGCCTCGGCTGCCACGGTCGCCCCGCACCCGGCCGTGGAGTTATGGTGCGCCGATTGGACGCTACAGATGTGGCCCACTCCCTCAAACTGGGAGGGTTGGCGCCAGCACACTGGGGGTTGGGGAGAGGTCGGGCTGGAGGCATCTGGCACGGGGGAGGGGGAGGAGAGGACGGAGATCTGGGGAGCAGCAAGGTCATCTTGCAGGAGTGTTTCTAGGATGCTCTCTTCAAACAGAGATTCATCGTCATCCAGGAAGATGGGGATGTCCAGGCCTCTCCACGTTTTGATGGGATAGAACTCCCTCATCATGTGGACTGGATCATCAGGTTCTGCAGCTGGTGACAGGAAAGGTGAGGGAGGGGAGGAGGAGGGGGAGAGTTTGGACAGGAGAGGATCCAGATAGAAGCCCTCTGCCAGTGAGCTGATGTGCTGAGCGAGGAGAGAGATCTCTGCCCGCTCCTTCTCCCGCTCGAGAGAAAAGAAGGAGAGGCAGGGCTGCTTCCCAGGAGATGCCTCGGGGGTGAGGAGGCCTTCAGGGGGACACTGGAGGGGTCCCAGTGGTACATCTACATACAACGGACCCCGTACCTCAGGCAGGGTCATCACTGTGCAGTCCCCGTCCCCGGGACTGTCAGGCGTGGGGGGCAGCTTCTCGTACAGGGAGCCGCTGCATGGCTCCACGGAGAACAGGAGGTCAGTGGAAAGGGAAGGCAGTGCAAGGGGGAGCTTTGCAGAGAGGTTGGTGGGGGGAGCGGGGCTGGAGGCCGTAGTGGGTGGGGCTGTAGAGGACGCCGAAGGGGCCAGGGAGGTGGTGGTGGTGGCGGTTGTTGCAGAGGGTGGAGGGGTGGTCGTGCCAGTTGGGTCAAAGCTGAAGAGGGGGTCGCCGAACTGGAAACTGACCCCACCAACCTGGGGGGTGTAGGGGGGCGTGCACACAAACTCTTTGGCCTGCTGTGCTTGTGAGGTGGGCACAGGGGGGAGTGGCAGAGGGAGAGCCGGCAGAGGAGGGTCGAGCTGGAAGGAGGGCGGCAGGAGAATGTTCTGGGTTAGAAAGTCTAGATCTGCTACTGTTTCAACAGTGACTGGAGTGGGGGAGGAGGCAGCAGAGGGGGTTTCTGCAGGGTGCTGCTGAAAGAAGCTCTCCTCCTCCAGAGAGGAGATGCTGGAGCGGGGGTCCCCCTCCACCTGCATGGCTTCAGTGACTGAGCTCCCGGGCTCATCCGAGGAGCCCACGCTGCATCCAGCAGTGCTGAAGTCAAAGGACTGGGCGGACAGGCCGCTGCTGCCGGGGGTGAACACCTGGTCTGGGCTGGAGAGGGTGTCTGGAGACTGGAGACTCAGGCTCTCCTGCTGAGAGGAGCCAGCACTCAGGACCAGTGTGAGCTGGGTGTGCTCTGTGCTGAGCTGCTGACGCACGGACCAGGCCTCAGAGTCACTGAGAAAAGAAGACAACAAATTATAACCTCAGGTTTGTGTCATCCAGATGATGTGAGGTCTGTAAAAGAGAGCAGTGAGTACCTGATGATGTAGTTGTTGCTCCTGATGGGGATGTCTCCAGACTGCAGCTGAAGCACCATGTAGAGCCAAACCCAGGACAGATCCTGAGCCTGCACACGTACCACCATCTCAGCTCTGCCCTCTCCTCCTTCTCTCACTGTTCAACAACAGCACAAGTTGGCATCAGTGTATTAATCACCATGTTGCTCTTCCATTGTTTGCATGTGGGCACAGTGTGTGTAGTTATGTGGTGTACTTACAGAGGCTACGGTGCTGAGCAGAAGCATGCGACAGATCCTGTGGGTGGAGGAGGCTGTACCAGGAGCGAGCGCGCAAAGCTGCCACATCAAACCCCAGATAGTTGCTCACACTGCAGGGGTGGGGGGTTTGAGGTGAAGAGAGGGGGGGGGGGGGGGTGTCAGGAACACTATGTTTCCATATAGTTCATTTTAAAAGCAACAGGTAGGAGGATGAAGGATGAGCCTCACCTGTCCTGTGCATCCTGCAGCCTCAGGTCACGGTCATGTTGGGAGTGGAAGAAGGCCAGGAACAGGTTGGTCTCAGTCAGGGGAGGGGTGGAGGTGGACTCCCTCTCTACCTCGGAGCTGGAGCGGCTTGGCTGGGGTTCCAGGGGGGAGCAGAAGCACACCCACACCGGGTTGGAGCTCCAATAGGAGCCGGTGGTAGGGGCAGCTGGAGGGGCAAAGAGGCAGCGGGCTCGGATCAGAACCAGTTTGTTCCCAGCGCTCTGCCTGCGCACGGACTTGGAGGTGTTGAAGCGACAGCGGAAGAGACGGTCTGTGGTGATTTCAACAAACAATGTGCATCAGAACTCATATTTGGTTACAAACACGCTTCAAATTAATAAAACATGCTTTTTTCCCTTACCCATCTCAAGTGACGTGGTGGTTGACAGGTTAGTTCTCGTGTTAAAGTGATCTGCGGCGTCAATTATGTCATAAACACTGTCGCCTTGAGCCACGAGATCCACCTGAAAAACACAGAGACACATTAAGATCCAACCCCACACTAACTCCCCAGTCATGGGGCTGCAGCAGCTGTGTGTAGCAGCAGCCTCACCATGGAGTGTCCGAGGTGCTCGGAGATGCTGTCTGACAGGTAGAGGAGCTTCCCCTCCCCGGTGAGCAGCATCAGGAAGCCCGGCAGCGCCTGCATCAGCTCCGACAGCTCATGGGAGAACAGAAGCCTCTCCTCAAAGCTAGCAGTTCCCGCTTCTAGATGAGGAAAGGGGGAAAGGCAGCAGCGTTAATAATAAATCCTAAAGGGGGGTTAATTTCTGCGGCAGGAACAGCATGTTTCAGCACCACGGACAGCGAAATAGCTGCGCGCGTTGAGCTGAAG